TTCAATTAAGATGAATGAATGCACTGTGGCAACTAACAAGGGTGCGCTAGATAGCTGCTATAACAATAGATTTTTGTTGGCTGATTTGGCATCACCAACTGTCGGTTTTATTTCAATATACATATCTTTAGTTGGTCATCTGGTTGGTGATGATGGTACACCATTTTGCTTTCCAATTCTATCCTCTCTCATCAGCCCAAATTTCCACGCTTTCGTCACGCCTTGACTAACATGAAAATCTATTCTTCCATTACCAACTGGGACATAAATTACTGATTGACATAAAGATGCCCACACAGAATCCTTAACTAACATGAAAATCAAATCCTTAATAGCCAGAATGCCCACAAGGAAGGGCCCGCACCCATCATCCGCTGATCCTGACCCGGATGACCAGATCGAGGAATCTGCTCCCGGCTCTGACACGGTAGGCAGCGAGGACATAGGCCACTCCCCTGCCAACAGAGGCTCCGCAGAGCTGGCCATGGATTGGTTTGATGGTGGTGAGTTTTGAGTGACACACACCTCTGACTCGCTCTGTTCGAGATGCTTATGACGCATATGCATCGTGTTCGTTGTTTCCATGCTTAAGTGGCTTGCGTGTTTGATGGGCCTAGCAGATTTCGATGTGGGGGAGGAGGAAGATGAGGAGGAGCAGGAGGAAGGCGACGGTAATGGCTGGGATGATGAAGAGGGTGATGATAGCTAGTCGTCGCAGGGAGACGATGGCAACATGGATGAGTAAGTGAACTGTGGATGCCTCTATTTCCTCCTTCACATCCCATCCCATCGCCTCCGTTGCTTTCTGTCATGATTTCCTGTTGCCGTCACGTCGCGCACATGTACGCTAGCTTCGGTCCAGGATCCAGTCGAGAGGAGAGCCGCGCCTGGTCTGGTTGGCGGTATGGCCGGTGAACGCATCATCTTTTGTTCTGGCTCTTTGCTGCTAGCCTAACCTCTTGCCTAGCAATGGTCTTACCATGCTTAGGCACCCATGTGGACTCCCTAGCCAGCCGGCCACCAGTCCACCCATGTTCATGTTCTCAAATGCTTCTGTGAAGACTGCCCATACCAAGATGATGCAATAATTTTTTGCCACTATCCATAGCTGATGGTGATTGGAAACACGAGGAAGATTCACCACCCACACACATGACATAGAGTGGAGTGAAATGGCGTAGGAGCGGAACATTAGTGTAACAACGATGAAACTGAGAGGATGATGTGGAACCATGGAGGGGCAGAGGGTGATGATGCAGTTGCACTGGAGTGAGTGGGCGTGGTGAGGAGAGAAATTATGTTCTCTCATGAGGAAGGTGAAGATGGAGATGCCCTATGGGGAGCAAGGGAGCAAGCATGGTGGTGGTTTCAAAGGGGGGAAGTAAAGAAAGACAAGTTAAAAACCATACATGTGTCCAACTTTATGTGTGTTTTCACCAAATAGAAATATCACTTGAACAATGCTTCTATATGTTCCGGTTCTTATTCCATTACATAGCAACGCACAGACACCTAATTAGTCCAAGGGCCTCTTTGATTCATAGGATTCTCAAAATGCAGGAATAGGTTGACATGTCCTATAGTACATTACATGATTTGAGAGAATGTTCGACAGAGCAGGAAACACAAAGAAATCCTATAAAGACGTTTGAGTGGATGAAAATTTTCCTCCAAAATGTAGTACAAATGGATTCTATGAAAAAATTTCTAAGGATACCAATCCTACGAACCAAACAACCATCACATGAAAAAATCCTAAGGGTCCAAATCCTCCAAAAAATCCTATAAATTCCTTTGAATCAAGAGAGCCCTGTTCAATGTACGAAAACCATGCATGTATATTGGCTTAGTGCAACATTTTGTTTCATACAAAGATGCTATTTATATAGTAGATTTCTGTTCTTGCTTCTCCTTTTCTTCATTTAAATAATGGGCTCTTGCTTCTACTACCTAGTGGAATTTTTGGCGTTTTTTTATTACTCTACAGCCCAAATATATAAAAGTGTCTAACAATTGGTGATGTTTGGTTTTGCTAGGTCATTGAGAATGCACATCTTTGTCAAGAATCCCACCGGCAGGACAATCTGCCTCAAGGTCCACTCATCAGACACCCTGTACACCGTCAAGGCAAAGATCCAAGACCAGTATCGTCTCGTCTTCGACGGGGTGCATCTAGAGGACAACTTTACGTTGGCTGATTATGGCATCGAGCATGAATCTACGCTTGACCTCCAAGAAAAGATGCAAATCTTCGTGACAGAGACGCTAGAAGGTAGGACCATCACTCTCGAGGTTGATAGCCTAGACACCATTGGCAGCCTGAAGGCCAAGATCCAATACATGGAGGGCTTTCCCAAGGGCCAGCAGTGCCTCATCTTTGCCAACAAGCAGCTGGAGGATGACAACCGCACCTTGGCCGACCACAACATCTGGAAGGAGTCCACCATTCTCCTTGTCCTCCGCCCGTGTAGTACAATAGGAGGTACGATGCACATCTTCGTGAAGACACTGTTAGGAAAGACCCACGCTCTTGAGGTTGGGAGCTTGGACACCATTGAGAGTGTCAAGGTGAAGATCTATGAGAAGGAGGGCACTCGCCCGATACAGCAGCGCCTCATCTTTGCTGGCAAGCAGCTGGAGGACGGGCGCACGCTGGCAGACTACAACATTCAGAGGGAGTCTACCCTTCATTTGGTGCTCTGCCTTTGTGGTTGCTGAGATGCATGGCCATTCAACAACCAGTTTTATTTTGCTGCAGTCCTCCTTGCAGTAGTTGTGTGTTGCCAATAAAACTATCATTCTAGTACTACTCTGAATCAAGAATCCCTGGCTCTGCCTTGGCATCATTTGATTGAGAAATACAGCGCGGGTGCAGCTTCTTTCCTTCCACACGCTTAATGCGGTTAATTTCTGTGCCATCATTGGCAAAAGCCTAACACCGTGACTTGATTTGCATGCTATTTATGTATCCTGTGAACCACATAAAGGGGATGATTCAGCACGTCAAGTTGGAATTGGGATTGGAAATCAGAGTTGGAATCAAAATATGTACTCCCTCCGTCCCAAAATTCTTGTCTTAGATTCGTCTAGATACGAATGTATCTAATACTAAAACATGACTTGATACATTCGTATTTAGACAAATCTAAGACAAGAATTTTGAGACAGAGGGAGTAGTATATAATTTTAGACCAGTTCCAATTATAGTTGGAGTTGAATTAATTTGGTTCTGCAATTCCACAAATCCATTTCAGTTGACTCCTTCTGGAACTTAGAAAACGGTGAAAAAACAACACTCTGACATTGAAACAGACCCCTTCTGGAATCTATCTTGCAAGCTCAACTACACTCCGACGTGTGTATGTAAACTGTTGGCTTTGGAACCTGGAAATAAAATCAGATTAATATACATAGTACTCCCTTCAATCCAAAAAAGTGTCAGGCTTTAGTTCAGCTTTAGTTCAAATTTGAATTGGGATTGGAGGGAGTGTTTTTCCCTCAAAGGAAATTAATTAGCAGCCGATTTTATTTCAACTGACTCATTCGTCAGTGGACGAGCTTTCTACGGGCCTGCAGTTATGTATCACACACACTGGACAATAGAACATGCGAAATTTAACATAATATGATAGAGATTTTTCTGAAATTGATTAGAAAACTGGAAGGTGAAATTTGAACACATGTCTTATCAGAGAAACCTGCGCCGTCTTTTACCTTACCTACCTCGGTGCAAGCATGGTTCCAAGCTCGCTTTCATAAATACTCCAGAAAGTGCCAGAGGTACAGGTCTACTTTATACACATCGCTCAGACCACCTGCGATATTCTTATGAGCACTACAGAAATCAAAGAGAATGTACGGTGCCAGGGGTACAAATCATGTTAACACCATGCCAGCTGCTATTTCCTTATTCTGTATCAACAACTCTTCAGCTAAGGCGTGTAGTCAACTGCTTTAGACACAAACTGGTGCTAGATTCCTCTCCTCTTTACAGTTTTGCAGGAAATACAATGTCATATGCAAGAAAGAATGCCAACAACGGAAGCTTATATCTCGAGTGGATGGTTCGTTGGGCCAAAGAATGCTTGAATCTGTACCTCATAGTCATCCTGACACAGCAGCTGATGTAGGCTAGTTTACATTGAAGTGTTTCATTTAATTGTTGATGCGGCTAAATACCACCATTTGGTTTCAGTTATGCCGGGTCGTCCCGTCACTTGATCGTTCTTTTTAAAGGATGGTGTACCCTGGCCTCTGTATCTGAGCCATGCATGCAGCCATTTTATTTATTATTCACAAGGTCCTTATAAGGTAATACACCAGTAAGTCTGAAGCCATCATCTTGCACTAGTAGAAAAGGGGGCATTTGTCCCGGTTCGTAAGGGCTTTTAGTCCCGGTTCATGAACCGGGACTAATGGGTCGTTACTAATACCTTCCCCCTTTAGTCCCGGTTCAAACACGAACCGGGACAGATGGTCCTCCACGTGGCCGGTGCGCCGAGCCCAGGCAGGGGGGCCTTTGGTCCCGGTTGGTGGCACCAATCGGGACCAAAAGGCATCCACGCGTCAGCATTCCAGTGGCTGGGATTTTTGTTTTTTTTTGAAAGGGAGGGGGGGTTGGGGATTTTGGGGGTTAATTTAGGTGTTTCATATATTGTGTTAGCTAGCTAATTAATAGAGAGAAGTGTCCTCTCTTATGTCCATGCTTGGTCGACGCTACTACTATATACAAATAGCCCTCGACACGCTATCTAGTAAGAAAATGAAGGGAACCATTGAGTACAGAAGTTCGTCATGCATACCGAGAGAAATGATCGATCGACCTCTCCTTCTCCAAGAGATTGGTCGAACAACAAGTTTTCGTATCATGTACGTCCGACGCTACTGGCTACATACATGTACAATATATAAGATCTCTTAATTACAGTCCCCAAGCATTTGAAATCAACTTCCACATGTTATTCTCCGACTTTATTGATGACGTGGTCAAGAAAGAATCCCACCAATTCCTCTTGAATTGCTTTCATGCAATCTGGTTCTAGGAGTTCATTCCGCATCTGCCACGTCTAATTTGAAGAAGGGGGTTAATTAATACATATATATGAATGTAACTCAACAGAAATGATGGTGTAATAAAATGAAATTGTGAATATTATTGTTTACGGACTTCATATTGTCTTTGAGAGTAGCCCCGCTTGTTTTTCAAATTCGCGGTGTGGATGAACTCGCACACGTAGTACCCACAGAAATCATTCCCTTGTTCCTGCCACAAGCACTTTACGAGAAATAGAGGTCAATCAAACTGATAATGAAGCATTATAAATGGCATTGATGAAAGTATAGCTATAGAATCAACGGGAGATGCGCGCAACTAGCTAGCCAGTAGTACTTACTTTCGGGTATGTATATCGCAGCTCCTTCGGCAGTCCCGGAGCTTCTGCGGTGAACTGTTTCCAAACCCTGCAAGACAAAAAAATAATTATTATTACTTGAGATATCAAGAAATGAACAAAAATTTGCCGATATGGTGCGATAATGATCGATTGAACTTACTTGCTGAGCATTTCAGTCATGTCCGCATAGGTTTTTGGGATCTTTCTGTCTCGAGTCTAAGACGGTTACTAGTCCACGCTCAAGCTTAATCTGCAAAAGAATATAGTGGTACTTGCGCACGCTTGCATAACTCATCAATTACATTACTATAACATCCCTCGAGTAATAAGGGAAGCCGAATATGTAAACGACAGTAACACTCACTTGCCGTTGTAAGGAAAGAGTATGGTATCTTTGTTTTGATTTTTGATCAACGATTGTAGCAAGTTGTCCTCGGCCTCTTTGACGTCCTTTTCAACCAAAAATTCATCTATGATATTTGTCTTAATGAACCCAATATCATAAATTTCTTGTTTTTTGCACTCGACGATCTTCAATCTGCATAATATATTGAGGATAATTAATTATAAATACATGCAATGAAAGAGCCGAGCTATATATAGAGACTTAATGACAGAAATAGTACTTACAGGCAGTAGCAAAAGACCGTTAATTTATCGAGGGCCTTTTGATTGAAGAACTCGAAGAACTCCTCAAATAGAACAGACAACAGATCATTTCCAACAAGGTCGTGCTCCTCTTTAATTCTCAGATACAAAGTATTCCTCCCCCGAGACTCTCTGCAGGTTTTCATGTACCAAGTATGGAATCTTCGCATCATCGTTATTAGAGATTTTTCATCTTTGACGAGAGGCTTCCCGTACTCGTATCTGTGTTCTTCCACCTCCATGAAATCAGGAAGTGCATCGTCAGGCAGGTAATCTTGTAGATTGCCATAACCGGCCACCATCCCCGGAACATTAGCGACGATGTTGCCGCTAGACACATTGAGCGGGGGGCACGATTGGTTTGCTTGTTCGCCGAGCTGGTCAATTTTTTTCGCAGCTGCTCGTTCTCTTGCTCTTTGATGTCTGACAGTACTTCCCGACCGCTCCGCTTGGAGATATGTCTGTTCAGTAATGCGCTCATAGTTGGTTCTCGGCAGAGACTTTGCCGGTTTCCTCAGGGCATCGAGAGTGCGCTTTGCTTTCACCGGATCTACCTTCTCCTCCGGAGGTGGATGTCTCTTTGCTTTCACCCCTTCAAAGAACTCCTTCACGTGGGTCCGCACGATCGAATAGTTTTCCTCCTCGGTTCTCTCGTACGGTAACTTCTCTAGAGGCTTTAGAGGTGGACCGTATCTGTATTGCCTCCCGCCTCTGGTTGTGCTGCTAGACACCGAAGCAGACGGAGCGGCTGCAGCGTCTGTCTTCTTTCGCGTTTGCTTACGAGGCGGAGGAGAAGGACTACGACGCGCCGGAGCAGCCGAGGCGGCGGCAGGTCTCTTCCGCCCTTGCTGGCGAGGCGGAGAAGGAGGAGGCTGCTGGCTGCTCGGGAGCGCCGGCGCAGGCGGAGAAGAAGGCGGAGTGCCGCCACGCGCTGGAGAAGGAGGCGGAGTGCCGCCACGCGTGCCCTGATCGTCACTCGCTGGAGGAGGAGGCGGTGGAGGAGGCGGAGTGGCCTGGCTCACCGGAGGAGGAGGAGGAGGCGGAGGCGTCTAGTTTGAAAGGTTGATGAGCTCCTTCCGCCATAGGCATGGAGTCTTCAGAGCAGAACCCAGCCTAGTCTCCCCTTCACCAGTAGGGTGGTCAAGCAGGAGGTCCTCAAATCCCTCCGTTATTTCATCCACCATCACCTTAGCATATCCTTCTGGAATTGGCTGGCAGTGATAAGTTGTGCCGGGTACACTAGGATAAACTTGACCAACAGCCGCCTTGACCTTCAAATTCATCCATCGCGCCATAATATGGCAATTTTGAGACTGCGTGATATCTTCCACGTGATAGCTGGCAGGAGCCGTCAAGACATGCTCCGGCTGAAGCAGCTCGGTGGAAGCCACGCTGCTTCTCCGCTGAGATGGCGGGGTAGCTTTGGGGGAAGCTTCGGCAGGTCGTTTGCTGTGATCTGCTGCTTCTCGTTCCTCTAGCCCCATTACCCTTTCGTGCAGTGCCTGTAGTTGGCCCTGCTCCAATTTCTTCCTCCTCTCGTGGGTTTTGTAACCCCCTGCGTTCGGAAAACCAACCTTCCATGGAATGGAGCCTGGCGTGCCTCTTGTCCGTCCAGGATGCTCAGGATTCCCAAGGGCCATTGTGAGCTCGTCCTTCTTCATGTTTGGAATGAACGTC